TCTTCGCGTAACTTCTCTAATTCTTGATTATATACAATCGGACTCATTCCGGGAATATAATATGCAAACGACATAAAAAAAAAATGTGAAAAGATGTTCGGAAAAACGTCTGAAGGGGAGGAAGGACATGCGAAATATATTAGAATTTAATCCTAAAATAGAATCTAATAGACTTGAGATGTTGAGATCGAAATTTTTCGATCGTTCGGTCTTATCAATGCCCTAGTTCAGATTTGGCAGAAAGGAGAAGCGAAGATAGCGAGATACAGATTTGCCGTCGACGTGCTGAAATTCTATAGGCGATTCTATAAAAAAAAGAGAATACAAAAGAAGCGCTCAGGTCGCTCTACGCGCTACATATCCGTTTAATGGCGCATTTATGCAGGCATTTTCCATTTTAAACTCGTAAAATCGACTCGCCAACCGATCCTGCGACCCTTCCCCACGCCGCTGACCCGCGCGATTATTTATGGTCCCTCGCAGACTCTTTTTCGATATACATATTATATATATAAATATATAAATATAATATAAGTATAATTACTATAAGATTGTATATTCTTAATTAGACGCAACGTGCTGGCGAGCGCGCGCGCGGTCGCTGGGGTGAAATAAAATTGAAAACTGCATACGGTCACACACACACACATATACACATACACATTAAACACGTATAAGCATATACACACAACTACGAATAAACACACACAAAAAATAAATACGCACGGGGGGTTGCGGGCGACGGTTTGCCAATTTTCGCGAGGGGCTTTCACTTACGAACGGGCGACGCCCGCGTATCCTGCGTAATTCCGCAGTAAGGAGACCTCTGCCGCCTCCGGAAAAACTTTTGTGTATTATTTCTAACAGAATGTAATAAAGTAAAGTTTAAACAGACGATCGTTTTTTCTTCCCTTTCTCTGTGTTTCCTATTAGAAAAAATTAATCTAATAGTCCGCACGTAATTTATGTAATATGAATAATTAAATGTAAATCATACAATATGTCGTTAAATCTTAATATATGATAGTGTAGTACATGGACACTTTATGATTAGGAAATCTGCAATATAATTTTCTATTTCATAATGCTATTTATAATTCAATAAGCAAAATGTTAGCACTACATCAACAGTTTGCTGATTAGAATTATCATAATACATTCACATTAATCTTATTTTCTGTCAGAAATGGTAGGTTTTGCTTGATATATAGATTCTATAAGAAAAGTGTGATAACAGTCGATCTATTACATTCTATTAATATTCTTTTATTGTTTTTGTTGGAACTCTGCCTACAAGATTTATAGTAGATACTATAAAATTTGTTTCTGACAAATTTGATAGGGTATTATTTAAATAATTATAAAATAATAAATTCTGCAACAATTCTTAAAATTTTTTCTTAATAATTTTAATAATTTTAAGAATCTTTTTAAGGTAATAATTAAAATAATCAATAGCGCGACGCATTTTAATGTCTTCTCAATGTTAAAAAATCATTACTACAAGTAGCTATTACCATTAAAGTAGTTATTATCTTAACAAAAATTTTATCTTAAACTGACTATTTAAATTTTTGTTTGTGGCCAGTATATGTAGTAATATTCTACCCAATATGACTTTGTGATAAGATAGTATCTTACATATAAGAGAGAATCAACTATGAATACCGGCTTTATAACTCGCAATTACACATAATATTTCTCGGCAAGTGTATCGTCTAAATAAAATTCAGTCGAAACAACAATTTCTCCACTTATTCTACACTTAAATTAAAATATATTACGTCGTGTTTCGGAGACTGATGTGTTACCAAACAATTTACATCGATTTAAATTATACGACATACATTATGTTAATTCATGTTTTTTCTCCTAAACATCTCTTGAAAAAACAACACAAATTTTCCGCGGCATCTAATATAATAATCCGTTAAAGACAAAAAACATACAATGGCAAAATATATAATTCAATAAAACTGCCACGTTTCTTGGAGTACTGTTGATATTTATTATATCAATTTATCCTTCATGAGAAGACAGTTGATATATTCATCGCATTGCGAAGATAGATAAAAACAACCCGTGATGATTTAAGAACGTTTTATCTGTTATATGACAAAATTTTTCCGTGGCGCTATCGGCGAAAGGAATTATCGGGGAATATAGTCAGACGTTTGTTAACGATCGAGACGAGCAAAAGTGAACAACGAGCCATCCAGCTGGTAAGTCTATCTTTTTAATCTCTTTCATTTACGCGAATTTTCGAGCATTTCATCTACAATTTTTTCGAGTTACTATTAGCTCCGCTATATATTGCATTATCGCTAAAATTGTTCTATTTGTGTTATTAATAAAATTACAACTTTAATCGTGCTAACAAAATTATTATATTCTGTCAAACCGAGACCTGTCACAATTACATGACATTGTAGAAAAAAAATTACCTATATGTTATTTATATTATAAAATATTAATTTATCTTAATACAAAGCTCTTCGGGTTATCTTGGAAATTTTCATTTTAAATTAGAAAATGAGAGTATGTATTTTTGTGATCTAATAAATACAAGCCTTTCTACGCTTTATTGAAATTATGTATTCATTTGTTATTACTCTTTGAATTACATAATGCGCTTCTGTTACATATCACGTCATTTATATATGTTATGATACCGCTGCATATTCGCAGCAATATTATGTCATTATTTACTATTATATTATAAAGTATCAATTGGCAAATATGAAACGTTTTTAAACGTTATAATGCAAAGAATACATTTTGTAAGAGAAGACTCGAGAATAAAATACTAGAAAACAGTAGAAAAATGTATAATGAATTTAATAAAAGGAAATCATATGGATTGATTTACTTACTAATAAAAATTTTGCAAGTATTTTCGTTAAATAAAGTTTTCATGTAAAATCATTCAATACTCTCAGAATTAGCAAAAAAGTTAATAAAATTTGCAACTGACAAAAAAATCTTCATCGAAATCGGTGAGCCAACCTATATGGCCTCTTCTCGATCAGATTTACTATAAATGTTTTTACAGTTCATTTCCAAGATAAATTAAAATACATATAAGAATATTTTATTACAGACTGTAACTGTTAATTCTTGAGGCGATAGGATGACAGCATATGTGTGTATCGAAGACTATGAGAAGCATGCTCTGGAACATTTGACTCCTTCCATAAGGGATTACTACAAAGGCGGCGCAGGAGAAGAATATAGCGTAAAATGGAATAGGGAAGCTTTTAAAAAGTAATGTAATCTATCTAATCTAAACTTAAAGACAATAGTAAGTGGAAATCGGTTGAAAAACGATTAACACAAATTTTAAATTTCCAATTCGAATAAAAATATTATTGATGAAATATAGTTTTATTCGCTTATTTGTGTTAAAAGTAAAGAAGTAGAAAAGTTTTTGAGAAAGAAAAAGAGAGAAATAAGAACTAAATAATAAGTTTAATATGAAATATTTGATCTGAAAAGGTATTACTATTTTTCTAGATATTTATATTGTATAATATTGTACATATATGATTCCTTAATTAATTCATGGAATTGGAAAATAGGATATATGTATATTCTTCATATAGATTAGCGACTAAAAATGCGACTGTCCTAATTTGTGATCATTTTTAATATTTTTGCAGTTACAGGATACTTCCTAGATTTTTGCGAAACGTGTCTGAAAGAGATATAAGCACGACGGTGTTGGGTCACAAAGTCTCAATGCCCTTGGGAGTCGCACCTACCGCGATGCAGCGTATGGCACATCCTGATGGAGAGTGCGCCAATGCAAGGGGTAAGTAAATGTTTTGCGAAATATTTCTTATATAATATAATGAGATATTGACACTTGGGGTTGCTGCTTAATTAGAATTATAATTTTATTGCACTGTACTTTTTATTATTAGATTGGTATGTTACGTTTATTGTAAAATATATAAGGATCTTTTTTAATACAAACGTGTATATTAAATCATATAAATATGCTATAATAATAATCAAAGATTAGTCCAAACACACCAACGATCACAGACAGTTAACAATACTTTTTTAATATTCATTCCATAATTGTCAAAGATTCGCGCTCAAACATAAACGAATATACTGATTAATATAAAGAATAAACGTTCCAAATGTAATCATTTCTTATATGTATATACATATACATACATATATATATATATATAATTACTAACTCCATGAAACGCTCCATTTTTACAGCTTTGATTTTTCGAGTATATCACAGAATAACTTTCAAGAAATACTCATGTTTTTTTCTACTAGAATACAACAGAATAAACAATATATTGTTTTTTAAGACAATATATTACGTGGCAATATATATCTTTAGTCTTTTCTTACTTAATAAAATATATTTCAAAGAAAAGTTATATTATGAAAGAATCTAGGAATCTAGGATTACTAATATAAAAAATGTATATTTGTTATTTGTTTTACAATTTGTTGTTATTATTTATAGCCACGCATTGTCGCTGCGCGTAGCTTAGCGCCGAGACATTACTTGTGTCTCCAGATATCTGCATATTATAAGAAAAAAATTATATACTTTATATTTAAAGTTATTCTATAATTTCTCTCATATGTATTGAACTCATATGTATTGAAAACGGAGAGCGATTTTATATATCTTTCCTTTCGTCATTATTTTTTTTTAAACAATTTTATCTACTAAAGTATAATTCATAATACTTATTTGTATTGGTTAATGACAATGGAATGAATTCAATGAATAATACTATTATACAAGATATGTCACATTATTATAAGCTATTTTTTAAGAAATATTCAAGGATTGTAAAGAGAAATTTTGTGTTCATAAAACTTTTTTTATGCGTCATATAAAAGAATAAAGATCTTAAGAAATCACAAAATATTAGTATAATTTTCTGATAATTAAGAAGAAAAAATAGTTTGTAACACTTTATGTGATTCGTACTGTATAAATTGTATTCATGATTTCTCGAAAGACTTTAAAACTTGACTCGTTAAAGAAAATTGTTTTAATGAAAAAAATTGTTATTATAATAAATAAAACAATATCAGTTCTGCTTAGTCATGCTGCTAAGCAACGTTTGAAAAGGTTATAATACCGTAATATTAATTTGAGCGAAAGGTGAAACTTAAATGCTAAGATCATTATCGTACCGTATTCCTACGTATGGCTATGTGATGTAAGGCACGATAGAGCGCTTATGTGATATGTATAGACACATCCGCCGATATAAAGACCGCTTGTTATTCGGATTGCACATTCAAAGAACGAAAACTTCGCCTTACGCTACGTGCAAATTACTCGGACTGCGCGTTGATCGAGTCTTACTTTTCGTTGCTTATTAATATAAGTTCAGTATGTTGTTCAACTTGGAATTTGCGATGTGACTAGTAACCAGGAATAAAAAAATCCTTAAAGTTCTATGATTCATTTCTACCAATGCGCAATGTAGAATAACTTTAATCTCAGTTTAATTTACTTTTTATCTATTTCTAATTCTTAGAAATAGAAAAACATAAAAAATAAGTTAAATGGAAGTTAATCTACATTGACGGAAACAGGCCTATAACAAACAGGAATTCGGCGTGAGCCTACTGTTCAAGAAACATTATGGCAGTACAAAGGAAGAGAGTTTACTTGAGCTTGGGTCCTATGCTCTCCCAATTATTGATCGCCTTCATGTTAACTTGTTCTATCCGCCATTTCTGAGTGGGTGATGATTTGTCGCATATAGTCACAAACACTCTTTTACTACTCGGATCGGTATCTAGGCATCTAGACGAGTAACCATGCTGCAGCCACTGCTTTTCAACATCATAACGCCACAACTGATTGCCTTGTTTCCCATGGCAAGGATACAAGTTCACTGGTGCTTTCTCTTCGCCTTTGGATACATCCAAGCATTCTGTGCGATCTTTCGGCCTGATATCCTTATGCCAGGTCAATCGGAATTCTTGTTCACCCGACACTTTTTGATCGTCTTTCATGCAGGTGTCCACCACGACAAGCTCGTCCCTCTTTCGCTTCTTCGAATCCAAACATAGTTCGGGCACGCCCATGTTCCTAATCTCTCCGTAAGCAAAATCGTCTGGCTCTATGGGTGGATATACTTCCATGAGATCAAAGGCTATGTTCTTCATGAACCAGTTAAAGGATTTACAGTGCAATTTCTTGCGCAAGGCCTTTTGCTCTGACAAATCTCCCGGATCCAATGTCCGCAAGTGCGGTCGTCTCTTGTAAAGGTATTCCGCGTATTCGTCCATCCATACCTCAGCAACTCTTTTGAAGTTTTTTCCCAGAAAATCGCCGCGGCCGGGATTAGGGAATGGTGGGAATTTACGATAGACATGACCAACTCTAGAGCATGGCGCGTCATACATTTGACCGCCGCATTGCCAGATTTTGAAGGACAGTTCATATTGTTCGCCACCCCATATATCCAAACCCGGATCATAACCGCCCAATTCCCAGAAGAATTTGGCACTGATCGCAAACAGACCGCCCGCCATTATAGGACTTTTGAATGGCTCTGTGGGTCTCTTCAAATCTTCCGGAAGTAATGGAAGCCGCTTGTAATACAACTCCCAGTCAAATGCTCCTCGGGAGCCTTCATCTTGCGCTATATATTCAAAAGTCTCATAAGCTATCACATCAATGAACGGACAAACACAAGTTTTGTAGTCTTGCGCGATAGGTTCTAACAACGGTGGCAACCAATTCACATTGGCTTCGCTGTGAGAGTCCAGGAACACGAGAACTTTCGCTCTCGCCTTCTTCGCACCCGCCAATCGGCCTCTGATCAATCCCGAGCGTTTTGATAATCGTACGATGGATACCTTCGGCAAGTGTTGGGCAACGTAATCATCTAGTTTCTTTTTTAACTCGACTTTCGTGCTGGCGTCGTCGACCAATATAATCTCTTCTAAAAGGGAAGGCGGCGAACGATTAACCACGCTCCAGCAGGTTCGCAGTAGCGTGCTGAAATGCTCGTTGTGGAAGGACACTATCACAGAAATGGGATCCAGGTTCTTCAAATATTTCTTCTTTTTACAATCTGGATGGCGAATGTCAGGTACTGAACGATTCATTGATATCTCATCGCTGACTGCTGCATTGAATCCATTTACTTGATACAATTTTTCTTTTAGCACGTCGAGGGATGGGGAAAGAAAAGCTGGTCTTCCATGTTCTCCTATCCCCGTACGTTTTTCTTCTTCCTGAATTTTCTTGTAGTCATGCCAATCAATTTTGTCGTCCAAATCCTGTAAAAAATACGTTGCTATTAATAATCAGGGATGGTGAATTCTTATCTATTTTTGTAGGCTTGTTTATAGAAAAGCTTGCAGAAACAAGATAAAACAATTTATATTGAAAAACAATATATTTTTCACATTAAACAGTATTATTACTATATTATAAAATAATCGATAGTGACATATATGAATAAATAATAAAAAATCGGCAATGACATATTTGCGACCGTAAAAAAAGCTAACGAACCATTGACTTGGGCATATAATCGTGTTGGCATATTCCTGATCGTTAGAAATGCAAAAGAAGTGCAAGTAAAACTCGTTTGCTAACTGTTATGTGCACATGAGGAAAGTAGGTTTTTAAGTATGCATGCGCATAAGATGAACTCATAAGATCCGGTATATCTAATGCTTCGACTGCTGAAGCCATAAACGAGTATTAATTACAAATATAATAATTCAAGTAAGCATTCTTTTACTGTGTGTCAGCAGAAAATTGAACTCAACGAAGTTACAACGATTCTAATTCTCCCTCTTGTTTAACATCTGGCGCGAGATTTATCCTGTTGCGATTTTTTTTTCGCAACAGTAACTCAATGAAATGTCATACCGAGTTCCATTTCTCCATAAGCAAAATGTTAGATAATAGTATACAATTATTATTAAATTTGTGCAGAATATTATAGCAAATTGGCAGCAACTGCATTTATATTAAACTCTGTTCTGTCAGTAGAGCCTGTCGACATAATCTGACAACGGTTTGTTAGCAGAAAAACAGAGTAGAATCTGTCATTTCTTGATCACTCTTTGAAACATATTCTTTAAATGATTACAAAGTGATTCTTCTTAAATCAATAAATAGAAAATTCTACATTTTTCTCAATTTCTGCAATTTATAATTATGACCAATCTATTATTATGTTTTATTAACATAAATAAATCTGTGTAGCTAATTTGTTTTCAATACATTTGAATACCAATTAAATGAAACAGATTTTGCCATTCAATCAATCATTACATTCTGTAAAGATTTTAGTTTCTGTTAGTATTCTATTAACATAATTTATAGACATTGTAAAATTTGTTCTTAACAAATTTGGCTTAAATTATTTAAATGGTTATGAAATGACAGATTCTGTTTGGTTTATGTAATTAATCTACTGTCAATTACTATTGTCACTATTTTGTTAATAGGTTTTATAATGTTTCTATTGAACATTCTGCCAACAAAATTTGTAATAGATAGTTGATAAAATCTATTTATGATAGATTTGGCTATCATGGGATATTTAAAAGGCGAAGGAATGACATGATTCTGTTTGATTTTTGCAATTCTGAAAAAAATTTCTGGTTAAAAATTCTGATCATAGCAATCAGAATTCTGTTATCTTTCCATTAAACAGCACTCTACTTAAACAGATTTCTATTGGCAGTCTATAAAAAAAAATTTGTAGTAGACACTTTAAAAAACCTGTTTCTGATAGATTTACTATCTGAATTATAAAATCATTAAATATTTACAAAATCGCAAATTCTGTCATAAATATTCTATTAATTTCTATTATCATCTTTATCATAGATTATTCTATTAATAGAATTTGTTATGTTGCTGCTAGCATTTCTGTCAACAAAATTTGTAACAAACATACTTAGCTTGCTTAAATTTTCAACAACAAACTTCACTATAAATATTAGATTCATGTCCACGATGAAGTTTGATCTGGGGGTTGAGTGTCTACCTTGAAACGAGATAAAAAGAATAAAAGTGAGCGAATTTATTGGAATACTTATAATTCTATTAATCAACATCTAGTTAACATCTTTGCTCACTTTATAATTTTTCTCGTTTTAAGATACACAATTAATCCGACCTTCTAATATGGAGTTTGGCTTCCCGTTTGTACCTGACGTAAATGCTCGTCGTTCCCTCGATTGCTGTCGTCCACCACTGCCGCCGCCAGGGTGTCGAGTGACGTCGAGCTTCGACGGTTGGGTAATCGCGCGTAGTGGAACACCACGACGGTCAGGAACACGGTGAACGCCGCCAGAAGGAGGAACTTGACTAGGCTGATTACGTTTCGCCTCATCTTCGCGAGAGGATCATGTCTCGCGAGCCTCTAACGAAGACTACGGGCACAATGCTCGTATTCAGAGTCAGGCCTTATATTTAAGGTTTCTTTAAATGTATCTTCAGTTGCGCTCTACGAATTATTTTACTGGCTATCGAGCATCTAAAGATAAATTTAAGGAAGCCTTAAATATAAGGTCTGACCGGTCTGATTATAAAAATACAGACATTAACCTCACCTCTTATGACTTATCTCGTTGCGTGAACGTGGCAGACGCAGGCGGGTCTCGCAGCGTGAATAGACGGACACGTTGTCCGTCATCGCCGCTGCGCGGCGACCGGGAAATCTCGAATGATGAGTTGTATCTATTGACTCTACTCGGCTCCCGCTTGACGCTCCGGCGAAAGCATAAAGGACCGATGCAATAAACGGCACGCACGACTGCCATGAACTGCCACTTGCTGCAAGTTGCAGTTGCTGCACGATGACCGATATATTAGAGGAGTAGGAGATTACCTTCGTGAGAGAGAAACTTCGCTAAGGAAACTTGTTTTTTCTACCCGGTTCCGCCCGCGCGATCTCACCTATCCGCCCATCTCTTGCCGTTTGTGCGAACTTAATGATTCTCGATTAGTATTGATTGAAATTTTAATTGTTCTCGCATAATCTTATGCACAAATGTATTTTTAAATAAGAAATAATAAAAATATGAATTTTAAGGAAATCATTTATATATAAGTAGAGTCTTTTGCAAAAATAACTTCGACGAAATGATTAATTTAATTGATTATTAATTCAAGTGGGGGGGGGGGGG